GCCGGTAACATTAGAAAACTCGGTGTACCGAATTTGTCCAATCCGGCCTTGTACTTTATAATAGTTATAAAATAATAATAATAAAAATAATATTTTGTGTTATATAATAATATCTTTAGTTTTATGTAGTGCGTTACAACGTAACATAGTTTTATTTTTACTGTTACTATTTTATTACTATATTATAAAGTATTAAATTATGTTAATTTTGATTTGAAAATGAACAATGTACCTAAATAAAAATATTATGTACAGATATACAGATTTTTATTTGGATATTTTGTCCTATACATTGGTTAATTTATCCCTAGATATTTTATCCGTTGGATATTTTAATCTTGGATGTTTTAACTTGGGTATTTTAGTACAGGATATATTTTCCTAGATTCGTATTCAACAATGGTACTATCCTTGGCTTACACCTGTCAGGGATTAAAATTAATTAAGTGAACTCCCTGGAGAGGGCCTCGTACGCTTGACCACACGTAGGGACGGCGCGAGGGGGTGGGCAATAGGGGCAGTTGCCCAGGGCCCCGCGCCTTAAATTATAATTAAGTCCCCGCGGTTCTGATTTAACTGAACTTAAAATATTTTATTATAATAAATTATAAGACCCAACATTTATTTTGCCTACGGCTTCGCAAACTCTAGCATCGTCACTGACCACACAAGAATGTTGAGTTGCCAACATCTAACAAAGCATTTGGCAAACTTCATCCCTAAATCTTATGGATGGTAATGGTATATGCTAAGTAAATGGGGAATTGATGTCGGTGCACAGAAGCTCGGTTGATGATTTCGAACTTGGTCGGAATTCATTCTAAGTCATATATTGATCAATAGATAGTCAATATATTCATCAATGTTTTCTTATGACATTACCACGTAAAATTATGGTCCATATATCGACGAATATTATTAAAATACCTACCTATTCTGTATTTGAATAAAATAAAAGTACATTATTATGTTTTATAAATATATATATATATAAGTCAACTACAAACAATTTCTTATTACCATATTGTAACGCTGTTTGAAATAAAACGTTTATGCTTGCTAAGCGCGCCAATTCATACGTTTAGAAATACACTCTCTAAAGCGTCATTAATTTTGAAAAAAAATTCAATTTTTAGATTTTTCCTTTTAGTTACACTATAAAACCTACCTTTATGCAAAATTTCACGTTTATTCCTATACGGGAAGTGTCTTAAAATTTTGATGATCAGTGAGTGAGTCAGTAATAAAATTGCAAATTTTGAAATCCTCCCATTTCGAAATGGTATTATATCAAGGGCTCATTTTCTTACAGCATTTTAAGCTACTCGAGATTAATCTGTGTTTTAAATTTTAAAAGTGTACTTCAAGAAGAAACAGAGATCTATGGGTTAGAATAATCTAGCGAATTGGTTCGTGTAAATATACACTTGCATTACTGGAACTTGGCGGGCGCACTACCGTGCGCTCAGATATCTAAAACGTCCAGAAAACGTAAAACAAAAATGTGTAAGTGGCCTAGTGTAACGCGGTATATGGCTATAGCCACAAACGTGTCTTGGACTTCTGGTTAGGGTCATTAGTTTCCGGATGGGTGATCACACGAGTGTCAAATCCTAGCTACTCATATCCGTTCAAGTAATAGAAACGTTATTCAAGAACGTATAACTTTAAGGCATTTGAGATCATATGACTGTAAAACATTCTTCTGATAAAATATTCAAGAACGTAATATTTTAAAACGTTTTTTTAATTAAATTTACAAAAACGAATAACTTAACAACGTTTATTAGGTAAATCATTCAAGAACTTTAAATTTTTTACGTTATTTAGGCGATTATTTAAAAAAACAAACCATTTTAATGTTTTCTAGTAAAATGTTCGTGAACCATTTAGTTTGTAACATTACAATCTAAAACCGTCTGTTGAACATAGCTTAGTTTAATGTTTATCACAAAAAAAAAATTCAAAAACGAATTATAGAAGTGAATCAAAAATTAACGGTTAAAGTAACCCTGTAGGGAACAGCAGCTCTGTGATAAAACTATTTTTGTTCAAATTATAAAGTAAAATAAAAAAGATTATTTATTTATTCATTTTGATACAATGATTAGGTTTCATCATAATTAATTTTTATTTTTTAAAAATATATGTTATCAGTGGTGCAGGAAGTCAGCCTAGAACTCCTGGCAAACTTGAAAGAAAGACGTCCTTTAACTAATTAAAAATGTGATATATTTTATAATTACTATTATAGTCTAAATTTTAAACTATAAAATTTTTTTGATTTTCTCGCTTTAAGACTGGCGAATTAATTGATAGTTAATAAATTATTATTTATTTAGTTTCAAAATTCTTCATATAAAATTTTTTTGTATGAATTCCCTTTATATTTTCTAATTAAACTTCATGGCAATGTCTAAAATTAGTTTAACTAATAACTAATAATCTATCACTACAAATAAAAAAAAATGGTGTTATAGGACAAGAGAAACAACAGTTGGTGGGTGCATGTAAACTCTGTTACAAGTACTTTTTTTTACTGTAAACTCTGCTAGAAAAAAAAAAGGTAAAATTTGGTTCATTTAAATTCTGCTACTGAAAAAAATCAGGTAAAATTGAGTTTATGGAAACTCCGCCAGTAAAGAAAATCAAGTAGTATAAAATTAATATGATATATTATTAAAAGAAAATGTAAATATTGTATTATTAAGGCTGAGCAAGTTAACGATTTTTTTTAACTCGTTAAGTTATTTTAAAATAATAATGTTAAGTTAAATTAAAAGTTACTTATATTTTTTTCGTTAACTCTTTAAGTTAAAAGTTAACTTTGAAAAAAAAGTAACTTAACTTAGTTTAAAGTTAAAATTTTCTAAATTGCAAAAATAAAAAATTGCACACATAGTACTAGTTTTTTTATGCTCAAGTAAATTACTGGAGAAATTTAAAATAATACATAAAAGTATTAACTAGCTCATTAATAACTATTAATAATTAATTAATTAATAAAGAAATAATATAAATGATCTTAAACATAGATATAAATCTTTCAATATCAGACCTACCCAAAAGCAAAACTCTACCATGAACGTATAACAGTGAACTACAATCATTGCTTGAAGACTACAAAGAATACACAATTTTTTTCACAGATGGGTCAAAAACGGACGAAGGAGTAGGAGCCTTTGTGATATACAAAGAGAATAAAATAATGATCAAGATTCCTAACTCATGAACAATTTCTTCCGATGAAGTCATTGCAATTTCTCACTCACTCGATATCATTAAACAAAATAAAATAACTAAATCCACCATACTCAGTGACTCTCTAAGCACCTTAACCAACATCCAAAACTATCTTCAACCTAACAACATTAACAGAAAGATTCAAAACCAAATATCGGCTTTAGAACTCCAATCTCAATCAATCACTATGATTTGGATCCCAAGCCACGTTGGAATCCAAGGAAATGAATTAGCAGACACATACGCCAAACAAGCCATTACCTCTCCTGATGCACATCAAATTAATATTCATACCCTACAAGACAGCAAAAACATAATTAACAAATTTATAACAAATCAATAGCAAATAATGCACACCAAACTTCATGAGATAACATCCTCAATATATCCATGGCCAGTTACATCTTTACCTCGTAGGCAGGAGTAATCCTCAACAGATTAAGAATTGGCCACACATGGTTGACCCACGGACACCTCATGAACAGAACGGATCCTGCCCTATGTCCCACCTCTCACAGTCAAACATGTAATCTGCAACTGCCTAAAATATAGACATCAAGGACAGTCTAGAAATATCCGACAACCTCCAGCAAGCACTAAGTCCAGATCCAAAAAATGTTTACAAAATTTTTAAATTTTTAAAATTAACAAAAATGTACAATTTAATTTAATATAACTATTTATGTATTAAGCCAATAACCTTTGTAGTTGTGGCTTCATCAATAAAAAAAAAAAAGAAATAATATAAGCTAATAAAGTAATAAACTAATAACAATATGTTATAAATTCTAACGAGATGAACAGAACACATGCTAGTTGAATTATGAAATTAAACTGGGAATTATACGAGTACCACAGATGTTTTGTGATTAATCCCCTATCATCACTCGCTCTCATGGTATTTACTATCTTAATAGAATATTTTTAGGATTTCCATAGGTCTATAAAGTTTATACAATAACTATGTTATAAAAATATAATGAATATTAAAGTTATTTTTCATATTATTTTCGTCTACAGATAATTCATATTAAAATAGTAAATTATAAATATACTAAAAATATCATTTAATAATTTGCTTTATTCTTTGTACAAAAATAACTTAATTTAGATACTTTAAAATAAAATTAACTTAAAGTTAACACGTTAATATTACAGTAAAAAAAAAAAAAATCAGAATACCTAATATTCAAAAAATTAATAGTTATGTCATGTATGTAAACTAAAATGATGTGATACAATTTGTAAATCCATTAAACTCTAATAGTGTACCTATTTATAGCATCCAGTAATACTGTAATTCTTTTTTTTTTTTTAATTTTTTAACTTAGTGTTGATGGGGTGGGTCAAAATTACAAAAACGTTGGGAAACACTGGTTTAAATCAATATAATAAAATATTCATAGCAATCATCAGTCATACACATTTAAAATATAAAAAAACCCATTTTTTTAATGTAATTGATTTTTTTAAATTTTTTTTTAGTAACAACTATAGCTAAATATAAGAATTATTATTTAAGGATAATTTAAATACTTTTTTAACTATAACACTAAAATATATGATTGGAATGATCTGCATTAAATGACAATTACATTTTAAAATAGCCCATGCTTTATAAAATTAAGGTAGAAACAAACTATTTATAATTGAAGGTTATACCATATGTAAATTGTTGATTTAATAAATGTGGGGGTCAGTAATTATGTACCATACTTTTTTTTTTATAAGAAAAGGGTAAATAAATAAACTTTCAATTTTATTAAAGAAGTGTTTTTATTTACATTCACAAGCATTATGACTGACCCGCAAAGTATATTCATTCACTTCTATGAATCATTTTACTATAAAAAAAAAAAAAATTAATTACATTTTTTAAAATTTGCCAAAAATTGATTTTACATTACCTTTTTAGAGGTTGCACCAACTTTAGTTTTCTTGGTACCGCGCACCTTCTTCATCCTGTTCTTCCTTTCCTTTCTCTGTTTTCTGGTTTGAGTCTTCTTTTCGAATAATCCATGCTAAAATAAACATTAAAAAATAATAAGTATTAAATACGTAATTCACAAATAATGATAAAATCACCTATACAATGGGTATGGAAGTTATGTATATTTTAATAAATAGTTTATACTTACCCTTTGTAATCTGTATTTTGGTTCAAATTTCTTAGCATGATCTAAAGTATCATAGATAAGAGCAAAACCTGTTGATTTTCCACCTCCAAAGCATGTTTGAAAACCAAAGACAAATACAACATCAGGTAAAACTTTAAACATTTTGGCTAATTTTTCACGAATGTCAGTTTTTTTGGGAGAAGGCTTTCCAGGGTGCATAACATCTACCACCTAGATAGAAAATAAGTATAACTATGTAATTGAGTAAATAATGATTTAATTTTATAAATAAAGAATTATATTGCTCTCTCAACCTTAGGCTATACTATTGAAAACAATCTATGATAACTAGTTGTATTATAAAAAAATTTGGTATAAACTACAAATACAAAATAAAATAATTGAAATAAGAAATATTTTAATGGATAAACATTTTTAAGTAAAACAAAAGGTTGTTTTTAGTAGTAAGAATATGGCTACCATAGAACTAAATTAAAAAAAATAAAATAAAAATAAACTTGATAAAGCTTTCATGTAAATTCATTAACATCTGAAATTCAAAGAAAAGGTATATGTCAGTATATAATAAACTTTAAATTATAAGAAAATGGTTTAAACAGCATCTATTTTAAAATTACATCTAACATTAGAATAATATAGTCTGTTACTTATAGTTATTAAAAATTGATATAGTTATTCTTTATAGCAAATAGATTGAGAGAAAATAAACTTCATGATTATTGTAATTAATTTTTACATATGGTTTCATACATCTGTAAGATATACTCTGCACATTTCTAGGTCTTGTTGTATGATGTAATTAATTTATATTTGAGATTATTCAATTATGACTTACCATTTGTTTTCGGCATAGCAAACGGTTGGTCATAAACTTGCGGGTTCGAATTGTAGCAGTAGATGTATTGGCAACCTATTAAATATGACAATAACATAAATAGGTTAATGCAAATACACTATATGTCCATTTATTATTTTATTATAAATGAACAAAATTTTAGTTAACAGTTATACAATGGAAGTCATGATCCTTAAAATGAACAGTTATAAATATATATATTTATCTATGCTGATAGTTTAGGCGTGACAATTAAATAAAATTATTGTAATGGATACATTATATTTAGGTTTATAAGTTATCATTAGTTAGGTTTGATATGCGATTATCGACAGGTTTTTGGTATTTTCTAAAATATAATAACGTACAAATATACGAAATTGCAAGTAAATCATGCCCAGAATTATTAATTTATTTTAGGGAGGTTTTAAAATCATAAAATGTTATTAAAAGGATCATTATTTAATTTTATAATTTGGATTTGATATTGGCAAAAACTATCACGTCTGATGGAATGTCATCATATTCCGGGTTAGGTGTATTTGTGAATTTATCACAAATAAGGTGTAACCTTAAACGTTTAGAGGATTCTTAAAGTCTAGTTTAAAAGATTAAAGTGGATAAAAATCAAATACTTACCATTTTGGCTGTTGAAAATCCGTCAATTAAGGATGGCAAAACAAACTACATTAGAACACTAACCATGAAAGAGAGTAAAGACAAAATCCGTTTCGGACTTCTGCATGATGAAAAAAGTGTCTCACTGAATGAACATAGTTACTAAGAACAGTAGATGTTTTTAATGAGAAAGCTATTGGCAGCACTGTTCTGGTTTGTTTACTAATAATATTTCACAATCACTTTTAGTAAAAATTTCCGCGGTCAGTGTTAGTGTCATTAGTAGTGTTCATTTATTTCTTCGTACCACTTCATTGTTTGTTTCTTCACTTAAAATATTGAATTTAATCTATTCTAGTTGAAATATTATTTTTATTGTTATGACTGTGTGAAATGTTAAATTTGATCGGAGATAGTGCTGTACAATCATGAGTGAGTTGTCATTTCGGCAATTCGATTAAGAATAAATCAATTTAGCATTGACCTTTTTTGGCAAATTGTTAAAAATATATTTTGCACATATTTTTTAAAATGCCGGCTGCCGAAAACGGTGCATTGCACGCAGAAAAAGATACGGATCGGGCACCAATTATTAATGGAATGGAAACATTACCAAAAACTAAACAGGTAATTTGTAGTACCTATGTAGCTTGTATTAATTTAAGAAATACTCACCTTGATTTTTAATGTATTTTTTTTTGTAGGTTTAGGATGTAACTTTAGTTTAAGTTTTATTTATCTTAAACTCTATTTACATCCTAAACCTGCAATAGTATTTTATTTATTAACTAACTAGTTTTTCATTTTTGAAAGAGTAAAAAATCAATAAAATAATGACTATCAATAATTAATTAAAATTAATAGTTCCAGAACAGTAACTGATAAATTTTAATTAATCATGATCAAATATTGAATCATTCCTTGTTACAGATTTTTTTTTTTTTAATATCCTTTTATATAAATATTAATTTAATAATAGTTTCATATTAATTTTTAAATTTTTATTAATAATTTATATTTTAACATTTATTGTTTAATAAGTTACTTTGGTTAAATATAATTCAACATGGCTCTTATAAGTATAAATTTATAATTATAAGTTTTATTTGAATTCTTGTTTCATTAATTTTTAGTTATAATTTGTGTTATACTTAGATTACAAGTTGTCTTTAAAAAATAATAATTGCTTATTAAAATTTAAAATTACTCCTCTTAAGTAGTAGTCGGTAATCGGCTTGCCACATCTGGCCAACATTAAATATCTCTTTTATAAGGTCCACATTAAATTCCAAAACTAAGAAATTTCATTGAATAAAATATCAATTTTTTTTTGTATTAACTATCTTGTGAACGCTTTTTAATTTGTAAATGTGGTCCAAAGGTCCAAAAAGGTTACCAATTACTGTTCTAAAGTAACATGTATTTTTAATGTATAATAAAATAATAATTATTGAAATGTTTTACCCCTTGTTATAATGCTATATTTTATTAATATTAAGATAATTTTTACAATTTTTTATAAATAATAAAATGTAAAAGTAATAATAATTTATTTATTTCAATTATAAAACAGATATTAGTATTATTTGTTTAGTCAACAATGATAATATTCGAATGTTTTCTTGTATATATTACCTTTATTCTTCATTGTGAATATCATGTAGTTAGGAAAAAATAATATTTTGACTTTATTATTCTGCATTATACCTCTGACTACTGATCATTTTCTGAATTGTTATTATTTGCAAAAATATTAAGTATGTAATGTTAAAAAAACTATTCACCTAACATTTGGTGAAATATCTTAATAGTTTTTGTTTTGTATATGATACTTGTATTTTAGTGTCTTGTTTTTACTTTATTGATTACTTTATGTGTTGAATATATGGTCTTCAAATCAGATTTTCTTTTAATTGTGAAATACAAATTTTTGTTTGATACTTTCTTCTTCTTTAGTTTCAATAAGCAAATACATTTTTTAGTGTTTATTAAAAAAATGTTTACATTTATTTTGTATGAATGAGAACTACTTTTAATAAGTTATTTGGTTATTTTATTAATAATTAATACTGTTTTAATCAACATTTATATTGTAATTTGTTAATATTTGTACGGATTTTATTTTATTGAAAACAATTTCAATGGTTTATTTGTTTTTATACACTCTAATAGATTACTATTAATATTTATAATATATTTTTTCTGTAATTATTTCTTATTAGGGTTATAAAAATGAAATTTATTTTTCATAGATTGTAAATTAAACACAGATTTTAAATTTTATGATTGTTTTTATACATTTTTATTTTATTGAGAAGAATAAAAAAATAAAAAAATTGTATTTTGCGATTTTTTTCCTTAATATTACCAATTGGATTAATAGGTTTTTGGTTTCTTAATATTTCAATGTATTTAACCAAAATAAGAATTAGTATACAGATTTAGAAACAGTAGAAAACTGTTTTGTGTTAAACTTTTAACTGTTTATAATGAATAATTTTTTAACTATCCAATTTTCATAATTAATGCATGAAACTTGGTGCAATAAACAACAATAGAAACATGAGTCAATGGGATTATATTTAGATTCATAACATGGAATATTTTGATTTAGGAATCATTTTAAAATTCTATAAAATACTTTTAATTAATTGATAATCTAACTTTCATAATTTAAAAATATAGTAATACTTGTTTTAAGCAGACCTACAATAATACTGAATCCAATTGAGTACCTTAAGTTATTTTGTTACTGTTGAGTTACTTTTAGTTTGATTTTATAGGGAACTAAACCATCATTAGAATGGAACTTAAATTAAATGATCAAATTTAAACATTAATTAAATCAATGGCATATCTTTCTTAAATTTATGAGGGGGTGTTGAAAAATTAAATCCCACTCAAAAGGATAGAGCTATATTTATTTTACCGCTGCTTATTCATAAAAATCCTAAATGTGTCCTAGGAGTTAAAATAATGTTTATTGCAATTAATATACCTAAGTACTATTTTTTTTTTAAATTTTGCATAATATCATTTTTGAAAACTTCCTAAAAGTTATCTTAGAAAATATCTGCACTAAATATCAGTTTATGGGGGTGGGACGATCATTCTCATCATAATTTAAATTTTGTTTTCAAATAGACAGCATTTTTATTTTTATTCAGTTATCCTGTTATCTAGAATCTGTATTAAGTGGTTAATTGTATTGGTTTATTGCGATTCTGCTTAAGACAAGTTTCACTGTATATTAATATTTGAGTTGTATCTACTAATCAATTGTAAAATGTAAATATAATTCAAAATTAATTAAATTATTACTAGGGCTAGGGACTTTATGCCCTTAAAAACCTTAAAATATGTATGCATTTATGTCCTAAAGAATCAATAAATATGCTATTAAAATATGTATTTAAAAAAATTATATTTGTAATAATTAATTAAATAAAAAAATTTAACTAGTAATAAATTATAATAATATTTTTATATATGATAGATATGATGATCTGAGATAATTTTTTCTTTTTTTCAAATTTTTTTTCATCTTATATTGAATTTTTATCTAAAACAAAATATTTAAAATGGTTTTAAAAATAAATTAAATTGAAAACATTTTTTTTATTTTTAATATAGTTATAATTCTTCTAACCTTGAGCATTACATTGGACTATAAGATATTTTCTTAAGTTGGAAAATTTAAATGACTGTCTGTTATCAGCCAAAATAATTTTATATTTAGAAAAGGAACGTTACACGTCTACGGAACTTATTAGTGCAAACTTAAAAAATCGTAGGTCACTACTACTAATATCTGCAGGCAATCTATCCATAGATTCATTTTTCCATTTAAAATGTTCGAAATTTTTTATAGTTAGCCTTAGCTTGTGCAAATTCTTCAATTTTTGCAGAATGTATACGTTTTTTATAGTTTTAATTATTTTAATGCATTCAATTAGTGTACCAATAAGACACCTTGAGTTCCAAGTCACGTGATATATGAAGAAATAAATCATAATTTTTTTTTATAAAATTTAAAAACTTACTCCTTCATATGAATAATTGTCAAATATGTATTTATAAAATGAAAAATGGTCAAATATGCACTTATAAACGAAAAATGGTCAAATATGCAAAATATGCAACTATAAATTTTAAATATAAACTTGTATTGCTTTGAAACAAATTAAAATATTACTTGGCTATATTTTTGATAATTATTTAAAAACATGCAAGTTCCTAGAAGTCCCGAGCCCTAATTATTACGTAATAACTAATAAATAAACTTATATTATTACATATATAATTTCCTTATGTTTTTCTAATTTCCAGTTATAGTTATTATAATACAATATTTTATAATTATCACATAATAAAACATAACTTCAATTTCATAGACTATAAAAAATACACAAATTGAATTTCTAAAAGTATCAGTTTTAGTTGATTGCCTTATGGGAATTGGTAAACCATTGTGTTTAAATAATTAATAAATTATTAAATATTGTTGTTTTATTAATTTTGTGTTCAATTTAATTTAAATTTTTAATTAATTTGCAAATTTTAAATTCGATTTTAAAATTATTTTAAAAATTAAATATTTATGATTATTACTTATTTATTTTTCTAAAATTAATATGATTATCAGGTTTTCTCACCATATATTATTCCAGCCACCTTATACATTTTGAAAATAACACCCTTCCTCCCAAAATAATTTAATTAAAAAACCCATTAAAAATATAATTATTGATTTTTATTTTTAATGGGTAAAAATAAAGTTATAAAGTTGAATATTTTCTTTTATGTGTTTACGAAAAAATGTAAAAAAAATTTCCGATACGATGAATAATTGCGCCTCATCAATAATGTATTCATGCTTCCCCTCTCAAGTTAGGAAACATTAAGATAAACATTAGACAATTATTACATTTAACTGTTGGTAATTTTATTAAAAGTGTCACTGTAGTAACGTGCTCTTCAACAATATCAGAAAATATACTCTATTTTATTAATCTTTGGTTTGAATTAGAAGGGTTTTGACTTTCATGAAATGCCCTATTATAATACAATTAATATATTGTAGATATAAAATCTGAGATTAGTAATAATTTTATAAAAACAACTATACCGGATTGAATTTTTAATTTATTTGAAAATAATTTTATGTTATTTAAACAAAATATTATTACTTATAAGTAGAGAACGGATTTATATGTAAATGTATATTTTTATTAAAACGAGATATTTAAGATTCGATAAGAAATGTTTATAATTTAAGTCATTCCTATTAAAATGATGATACTTTTATTTTACATATTTTTATAATTTCATCATTCATACGTCTTCATTGTATATACAATACAAGAAATTATTTCAAAATTAGATCCAGAAACTTGTATCGCTATTGGAAAAGCTCAAAATATTATGCAAAATGAAACATTGAAAATAATTTAACAAAATTATTAATAAAAAATATGTCTCCAAATAATAGTATGCAAATTGTTGAATCAGCGATTAAAACTCGTAAGCAGACCAATAGATTTTGTAAAAAAGAAAATTCATGCTGTTACAGAAAAAAATTCCAAGCTATATTGATTTTAAAACAATCAATGACATAATGAGTGTCA